TATGAAAACGACTTAGGACTTAAAACATTAGTGCCAACTTCCAATACTGTGTGGCTATATCAACTACCTTTTTATGTTTATACTACTAAGCAACATTCAAAATAAATCACAGGTTTAAGTATACCATCTACGACATAGACAGCATCTCATCTCAGTAATCCTATAAATGCATGTGAATTAAGTAGTGTAAGGCTAACTCTTCTACACCCTGTGTAAGCAAGAAATTTGTCCTAAATTCCCCACCACTATGTTGTTACAAACATTTTGCAGAGTAAAAATGGGAAAAAAAATTACCCACATTCAGCTACCAATTGGCATGGGACTTCAAAAGCGAGGCCAGTAAAATCCAGCCTCTTCCATCAACCATCACTTTTATCCAGCTAAGGACATCCATAAGGGAAAATGAGCCTGACTCCCACTAGATATAAATGTCTATGAATAATCATTGCATTAATCTGGCACTGTCAAGCTGATCTCCCTCCTTGTAATGGAATCTCTTTTTATTCTATAAACCTGAAGGAGGATCTGTGTCTTCTTTATCATTGATGTGATTCACTTTGTACTTGCTTAAGAAGCAAGTTCAAATATTTTTTTTTAAAAAAAATGAACTATTTTGTTTAAATGCCAGGAAGAAATGCTTGAGTGAACAAATGTCACTATTTCTGGCATACTTTACTTCTCAGGCCATACTTCAAAAATCTAGTTACTTGGTTCATTTAGAATTCCTTCAGCAATTTTGGCATCAGTCTGAAAGCACACACAGAATCACTTTACTAACATATTGCAAAGATTTTACAAGAGGCATAAAAGCATGAATCTTCTTCTGAAGAATTTACAGTTAGACAAATGAAAAACAAAATAAAAAACCATAGCTATTAAGAGTCAAAGCCCAACAAGTTAGAGGCTAGAAACACTACTTTTTACTGCAAATTCTAGCATTCCCCCCATCCAGCAGCAGCCATTTCTTGTCATCACAAATAAACACACACACACACACACAAGCATTGCTTCCACTACCTCAAATAAGTACAACATACATGTTCAAGGGGGAAAAAAGATGTTGAGAACACATTTCAATTCCTGTAGGTCTATGGTAAATATGAAAGGCTTGATGCTATACTGGAGTCATCAGTTATAGGTCATCTCTGAGTAAAGAAACATCTCCATTCCTGCTTACAAGATCAAACTGTCTTGATGTGTAAGGAGCAGTATTTATCTCCAAAGGCAGTTCATCAAATTAAATAAATCAAAGTATTGTGAAAATCACAGTGACCAAGTTATATTTTATTTGAAGAGCCTCAGAAATCCAGTTTTGAGAGATTACTGTTTAAATCATGTCTACTATTCTGATTATTTATTTATTTATCATATTTATACCTCACCCTTCTCACCCCAAAGGGGACTCAGAGCGGCATTTACACATAGGCAGTAATTCGATGCCATAAAAACAACATACAATTAAAAATAAACATGTACATTAAAACCAAAGAAATTAAAACATCTAGACATTACACCAATTGTTAAAACCACACAGTCCAAGATCATAATTCAAAGCCATTCCAGTTGTCATTGCACATATTCCTTATTCATTTATTGCATCACAATTATCCAAAGGCTTGGTCCCATAGCCACATTTTTACTTTCTTTCTAAAAGCCAGGAGGGAGGGGGCTGATCTACTCTCACTGGGGAGGGGGTTCCACAGCCGAGGGACCACCACAGAGAAGGCCCTGTCTCTCGTCTCCAACAATTGTACCAGCGAAGGAGGTGCAACTGAGAGCAGGGCCTTCCCAGAAGATCTTAATCTCCAAGATGGTTCATAGAGAGGGATACATTCGAACTGTATAATGGACTGCAATATTTTGAGCCAGGCATCCTCAAACTGCAGCCCTCCAGATGTCTGGGCCTTCAACTGCCAGAATTCCAAACAATTGAACAAGCTCGTTGGAGCTTCTGGGAGTTGGAGGCCCAAACAGCCGGAGGGCCGCAGTTTGAGGATGTCTGTTTTAAGCCGTTTTATATTCATGCACAATCAACTTGAGACATGCAGGAACATAATTTACATATGTTCATGCACATCAGCTTAACTGATTTACAAAGCAGGTTCACAACTAAGCCAGTGATCACTACAATAAAAGCAACACACAAGACAGCATCTGTCTTTGCTTCCACCTCCATGTTATTTATCTCAAGGACATCCATTATAAAATACAGGATGTATCCCACCATCCTCCCCACCAAATACACCCTTAACTACTTGTAATTCTGGAACTTTATTTATTTACTGCAATTTATTTCAAACTATATAATGTATTGTCGAAGGTTTTCATGGCCAGAATCACTGGGTTGCTGTAAGTTTTTTGGGCTTGAGGATGCCTGTCATAGATACAGGCAAAACATCTGGAGAGTATGCTTCTGGAACATGGCTATACAGCCCGAAAAACTTACAGCAATCCAATATATATACTGTATCTTTAAAATAACTGAAGATGCCATTAGTAGAGAACCGTCATTAAAGTACAAGAGAAACAAGTGAAGTTTGCAACTGTGGGCTTGTGAATAGCACACTGCTACACAGGGATGATCATTTGAACACCTTCCATAAAATTGCAATTTGTAACTGACTAAATCATTATTATAACATTTAATCTTCTGTATAAATATATGTACATAGCCACCAAATAATTACCATAGCTACTATTTGCTGTTAGAGGCTGTATACACGTTTTTTGGGGAACAGTCTGTATAGATTGCATCAAGGTATGCAATGTATGAGCAACAAATATTTGTTATCTAGTGGCTCTTCCAGTTTCTGTGCTCTGAAAGAAGAGGCAGTGGACAACAAATATGTGGGAAATATGTGTCTGCCTAGCTCAGCATACTATGAGTGCACATTCACTGTAGAAGTAATGCAGTTTGTTATCACTTCAACTGCTATGGCTGCATGCTATGGAATTTTGGGAGTTGTACTTCAGTGAGGCAATGGATAAAGACCTGACAAAGCTACAACAGGTCACTGGGGGTCCTTCCACACAGCCCTAAATCAAGACAGAAAATCCAAAATATCTGCTTTGAAATGGGTTATATTAGGCAAGCCCCACCCTGGCAATCTTTAGGAAGAGCTTGAAAACTTGGCTGTTCCAATATGCCTTCAATGAATGAATGAATTCCCTGACCTGACCAAGTCCTGTAAATGCCCTCACAAGCACTTTACCTCCCCTAGTAGTGCAATCCAATCTCATTTATCCCCCGAATCTCCTGTCCAAGTACAATAAACTGCTGTCTCACCTAGTGTTTTTAATTTTTTTAATCCTTTGGAATTGGCCCTGCCCACTGAGATTTATCCCCACCCCCGTCTTAAATGATGTGATTTTATTTTGTTGATGTATTATTTATAATGTACTGTTTTGTATGTTATTTTTATTTTTTCATTAATTTTATTGCTGTGTCCTATTGTATACTGATGTATTGTATTGTGGGCTTGGCCTTGTGTAAGCCGCCTCGAGTCCCCTTGGGGAGATGGTGGCGGGGTATAAATAAAGTATTATTATTATTATTATTATCTGGATCCACACTGCCATATATTCCAGTTCAAAGCAGATAGTGTGGGACTTTATTCAGCTGTGTGGAAGAGTCTTGGACCATGGCAGTTAAAGTGATGTCAAACTGTATTAATTGTACAATGTAGCTCAGGCATGAGCAAACTTCGGCCCTCCAGGTGTTTCAGACTTCAACTCCCACAATTCTTAACAGCCTACCAGCTGTTAAGAATTGTGGGAGTTGAAGTCCAAAACACCTGGAGGGCCGAAGTTTGCCCATGCGTGGTGTAGACACATCCTACACTTCTATAAAGAAACAATACTTATGGCCTTTTATTTGCAATAAAACAAGTTGGGATACAGCGGCCAAAACTTCATTTTTGTTGGCTGGTTATAACCCCATTCTGACAACAAAAGTTGCCCTTTATTTGTTTAAAGCTGCTAAAAGGAGATTGGAGTACATAGATCAGATTGGGGTGCAGTGTAGGGGAGATGAGGATAGTTGATGCATTTATCTATAGCTACCTGTATATTTGGATTTTATTTTAAGAGGACTAGATGTATGTTCTAGTGTGCCTTCCCGGAATAATGATCCCATAGCACTTTATCCTTCAAAGCACTTTACATTTCTTTAGGTCTGCTCGTATGTCCTTCCACAAGCACCACTATCGCCTTTTCGTCCATGCCCCAGCATTACTTCCAATTTTAATTTTACATTTGGCCTTCCCACTGTTTTTAATTGTGTGCTGTCTTATTGATAATGTTGTATAATTTATCATCTATGTTTTTTATTTTAATTACTTTTATTGTTGTTTTATTGCTTGTATTGTTGTATTTGGGCTCGGCCTCATGTAAGCCGCACCGAGTCCCCTGGGGAGATTGTAGTAGGGTACAAATAAAGTATTATTATTATTATATTGCATGTTGTGTCTGCACTGTTTGTTTTTGATAAGGCCAATTGGCTAATCAATAAAAATTGTTGTTGTTGTTGTTATAAAGAACTCAACTGCAGAAAAATAGGAAGCTGGCCTCGAGAGACCCCTTATACTTGCAATGGAAGCGCCCAGCGTGTAGTTTCGGTGCTTTGAAAAGCGAAAAACACACATACACACACGCACAGACATGGCAATATTATAGACACTTCCTGGAGGCAAAGCACCCAGCCGGACACGTCAATGACCCCTTCAGCCAAGGGAGCTGCCCAGCCCAAACCGCAGCCAGGGCGGGCATTTGTTGACAACAGCCTCCCTTCCACGACTGACGCGCGTCAACAGAGAGGCGTCTACATTTAATAAGCACCCACCCTGCCCACAAGGAAAGCCCAAGGCGTTTCTCCCGCCCGCCCGCTCTCTCTCTCTCTCTCTCTCTCTCTGGGAGCAGCAGTGGCTCCCAAGCCAGGAGGAGGAGGAGGAGGAGAGGCGCCCGGCCTGGGCTGTTGGCGGAAGGTATTCCTCCCCGCTCACCTTCTCCTTCATGAGGCCCAGCCGCCCGCGGGTAGCCGGAGACTCTCCCCGCCGCGACGCCAAGCAGACCTCCAATAACCAACAGCGGCAGGGAAAGCAGGCAGGCAGGCCTCGCTCAGGACAACTTCCGAGGCCGAGGGGGCGACTCCTTCCGGGGCAAACGGAGGGAGAGGGGCGCTTCTCCTGGGCGCGCGCGCCGGGATGCTCTGACGTCGGCGAGGCTCCTCGCCTTACCCAGCGGGCGGGGGGAGGGAGGGAGGAAAGGAGAGAGGGAGGGAGGCAACCACCCACAGAGAGGGCTAGGCCACGCCCCCCCAGGGCACCGCCCTTCTGAGTTGCTAGGCAACGCCGAACCTAAGGGGAGGGGCCTTCGGAGAAGATTTCCAAGAGCCGAAATAAGCCCCCCCTCTCCCCCCTCAAGTCCTGCGTTGCCTAGCAACCCAGAAAGGTGGCACTCTGGCCTGGGAAGGAAAAACTGTAGAAGGCAAGGCAGGCCTAGGCCTGGTGGGAGAAATGGCGCCTCACCAAACTACAACTCCCAGGAGGCCATGGCAGCTAAAGTGGCGACAAACTGTAGCAATTCCATAGTGTAAATTCACCCTAAATTGGATTCTCTCACATTCAGAGGAAGGCAAAGGCAATCCACGCTTTGATCAAACTTTGCCAGGAAAGCATGTGGACAATTTCAACAGAAAGGAAGAAACCATGAAAATGAACAAAATCTGGTTACCAGCATTTAAAAAAACTCTAAAATCATAACAATAAATAAAGGCAGGGGAGCTCCAGAAAAAAAACAATCAGAGATAGCTAATCACCTTTCAACAAAGGATTCCACCAGGCAGTAAGAAGCCCAGTGAAGACATCTGCCTTTGCGCTTTGCTACTCTGCTGCTGAGTATGCATGCCCAGTATGGAAAACATCACATCAGGCATGTAGCGGGGGGGGGGGGGGGGGGGGGGCTTGGAGGGCTTCAGCCCCCCCCTCCCCCCGAAATTCTCAGGGTGGTCCGCGCGAAGGCCTTACTGGTACATTATTTAAACTGTTATGTTTATTCATATCATGATCTGATCACCATGCTCAATATATCCCATATGCATGGGGGTATTGGGTAACGATACAAAAGGTTTGCTAGGGTAGACCCTCTTTCACCACCACCCCCCCCCCGAATCAAACTCAGCACCCTCCTAATCAAAATCCGCATTATCACAGAGTGTCTGCGCCCTACACCACTGGAGAAATTACATTGTTGCACCGCTGGGAAAGTGGCCACCAATAGTGAAAGGACTAAGGCAGTGACATCTCTGGCCCATCCCCTGTTTGGGTATCAGCCAGCACACCAACGACTAAAATCAAGAAATAGTTTTCTAATATCTACAGAGACACTCCTGGAACACCTCAGCAAGCGAGAGTCCAAAAGTGGCAGGCTCAAACCCAGAACCTCAATCAATGCCTGATACCAAATGAGACTCCCTCCTGGGCACACAGAAAACTGGGCAATTTGGAAGGTGCTGAACAGACTGCGCTCTGGCACCACGAGATGCAGAGCCAACCTTAAGAAATGGGGCTACAAAGGGGAACCCACGACATGCGAGTGTGGAGAAGAGCAAGCTACAGACCACTTACTGCAATGCAACCTGAGCCCTGCCACATGCACAATGGAGGGCCTTTTTATAGCCACACCAGAGGCACTCCAAGTGGCCAGCTACTGGTCAAAGGACATTTAATAGAATGCCAAGTTTGCAAACTTTGTGTTTTGTTTGTTTTTTAATGCAATACAACTGTTTGGTTCGCTCTTGACACGATAAATAAAATAAATAAGAAACCACACCTTGAAAACTACTAGGCCATTAAATGCTAATCAAGGTGGCCAATTAAATAATTTACATCTTCTACAGACAAGAGTTCCTTCTCCCACCCTGGACATTTCACAGATATATAAACCCAGTTTTTCCTAGTTTCCAACAGCCCTCACAACCTCTGAGGATGCCTGCCATAGATGCAGGAGAAACATCAGGAGAGAATGCTTCTGGAACATGGCCATATAGCCCAGAAAACTTACAGCAACCCAGTGATTCCGGCCATGAAAGCCTTCAACAACACATTGAACACCATTTTTGTTCCTGTGTTATAAATATAATTTCCTAATTGCTGCTATCATAAAACATGCAAGAAGCACATTTTGCTGTAGTTTTTCAATTAATATCTGATAGATTCTCAATCAATTCACCAGAGTTTCTTTCAGTATAACAACTACTTTCAAAGTAAGTATAGCACAATTAAATAGGAAATAACACTTTCAAACCAGGAACAGATTTTTTTCTCACATTTTGTTACATAGGGAAGGGTAAAGGGTTTCTATGACATGAAGTCTAGTTGTGTCCAACTCTGGGGGTTTATGCTCATCTCAATTTCTAAGCTGAAGAGCCGACATTGTCCATAGACACCTCCAAGCATGATGGCATGGAGCGCTGTTACCTTTTTGCCAGAGCAGTACCTATTGATCTACTCACATTTGCATGTTTTTGAACTGCTAGGTTGGCAGAAGCTGGGGCTAACAGCAGGAGCTCTCTCCACTCCCCGGATTCGAACCGCCAACCTTTCGATCAATCCTCTGACACTTTTAGAACTAGGTTGCTCTATCTATAAAAGATTACATAATTTGAATCTTTGGGTGAAAGTCAAACCAATAAATTGTATGCCCTTCTTTTATAAACAGCACCTCATTAGGTCAGTTCCAAATTCAATCCATTATTTCCCTCTACTTTCCTTTGTTTGGGAAATAGCCAAGTGTAGCATCATAATATATTTAGAAACAGTTTCCGAGAAACATACCCAATATAGCGCTATTAGGTGTGTTTCTTGGAAACCATTTCCCAATTCAAAACAGATTAATCAAATTGCTTTACAGATGAAACCATTTATAAATTCAGATTATATTAATACAAATGTGTTACACTGAAAGTATTGAAAGATAACATGTAGACTTGTAGTATTTCCCAAAATGAAATATTCAGCAAGTTATTAACATCCAATGTGTTAAAGGAGAAATAGCAAGTCTTCCCATAATATTCTTAATAATTTTTATAGCATTGGTAGTAACATAATACTCCACTTGTTTGTGCAATTTTGGAGTACAAGGTATTCGCTGTGTTATAATAAATATAATTCTGTTTTCCATTATGTTTCATAGCAATTTTATTTAATTTACGCATTTAATATAAGCCTGAATCAACTATTCTCCTAGCTGATATTTTGCATGAGTTTCTGGCTTACATCCTCATCCAAACATATTTCCCCAGAAGTAAGTCCAGTGGGTAATAATCCCTCCGAAGTGAGGCATGTATCTCAGCCCCAAACAGCTCAGGATGGTTGGGGCCAGCATTAGCTTCTCTTTCTCCCAAGGCATCTCAATCTTGACCTGTCATGCCCCTATTATTCCAGTCCTTGCACTCTCACAAGGAAGAAAGGCCATTGTGTAGGGCTTTTGTGATGGAGATTAGGCCGCATAGACGACATATTTTCACCTGTGACCTCTATTGTGATAGAAAGTAGCCAGCTCAGTCCTGGAAGAAGCAGTCAACCAGCATAACTTGTTTTTATGCCGAGTGGAATATATCTGTTAAATAAATTGTCCCGTATTCTTTCCCATGTTCTCCTTTAGTTCGCTGGAGTCAGTCTCATTCCTCACCAGATCACTTCTCACAATCACGTCTTGGGCCATACTTGCGAGAGGCCCTTTTGCACATGAAAAAGAGGGCGGCTTTAAAGGAGAATAATAATTACTCTGTTCTTCTGGGTCTGGACCCCACACATTTCTGACCTTTTAACCACTTTTCTCTCTGCGAGAGTTAGCCCTAGCCAAAAAATACTCTGTTACTGCTGTCTGAGAAAAACAACCTTCTGCAGCATACTATTTCTATAGCATAAAGATTGTGACTGCTACAATATTTAAATTGTCTAGGCTTCTTCTAGACGTCTGTATTGCTATCAGTCTTTTAACCATATATATAACAGACTCTCATTTAACAGGAACTCAAGCAACTGGAAAAATATCCAAGAAATAATATTAAAATTGCATATTGCATTCACAAAACTACATTAAGTTCATCTTTGTTTTAATTTGCTTTTAATTACTGTACATATGACTTGTAAGCTGCTCTGAGTCCCCTTTGGGTTGAGAAGGGTGGCACATAAATGTCGCAAATAAATAAATTTGCATAAATAAAGAAATTCTCAAAACAGTTTTTCAAAACTGGGTTACATTAAGTTTGTCTTTGTTTTAATTTGTTTTTAATTACTGTATTTCAATCTTAATATCACGTCAATTCAGGGACCTTCCACAAAGCCCTATATCCCAGAATATCTAGGCAGAAAATCCCACATTATCTGAGTGTGGACTCATGACCCAGTTCAAAGCAGATATTGTGGGATTTTATGCCTTGATATTTGGGATATAGGGTTGTGTGGAAGGGCCCAAACAGCTTGTAGAAGACCAACAGGTCGCAGGTTCGAATCCGGGGAGAGGCGGATGAGCTCCCTCTATCAACTCCAGCTCTTCGTGCGGGGACATGAGAGAAGCCTCCCACAAGGGTGATGTTGTTGTTCATTCGTTCAGTCGTCTCCGACTCTTTGTGACCTCATGGACCAGCCCACGCCAGAGCTCCCTGTCGGCCGTCACCACCCCCAGCTCCTTCAAGGGTGATAAAAACATCAAATCATCCAGGCGTCCCCTGGACAACGTCCTTGCAGACGGCCAATTCTCTCACACCAGAAGCAACTTACAGTTTCTCAAGTCACTCCTGACACGACCAAAAAAAAAAAAAGTAGATTGGTATTTAATCTCCATGGGTGCCAGTTAGCTGAGAGTATCAAAGAGCCCCTGCTGTGAAGTTGAAAATTGAGTGACCTTAAGCAAGTCACACACTATCAATCTCAGAGGAAGGACAAACCCCCCTCTGAACAAATTCTGCTAAGAAAACCCTGTTAAGGGTTCATCTTAGGGTCTCCGTAAGTTGGAAATTACTTGAAGGCACATAATGACCATTGCGATGATGTAAATTATATTTATTTGAAGAATAAATTATTTAAAGACCCTTTGAAATTTCACCTGGTCCAAAAAGTTGCACCCAGGTTATTGAGCACAGGAGCACATGGCAGAGGTGATTAGGTTTCCTCCTCCTGATATGCGGCAGATATCATGA